TTGTGACTTCAGTGTTGGTTGACAGTTAGTTGTTTTGAGTTCCAGAAGTTTTACACTAATAGAAATACTACCCAGCGATCTATATCTTCTAGATAGATAGAAACTTTAAATCACTGGACGATCAGTTCATCTTGACAGGGGACTCTTTAGTGATAGTGCGCATCAGCGACTCCTGCAAAACACAGGATTCAAACCATGGACCTTCGATCTTGCAGGTGTCGTGGTGTGCACTGTCGTGGATGAGTAGTCCCACACCAGGACTTGGCGTCCATTACTTCCAGGTTTTGAAATGGTAGTCTAATAGACATCTATTTATAATTTTGAAATATGAAGAAAATTTAGTATCACGTTTTTCGGGTAAAAAGTACCTTGACTATTGATTACAGTTGTTCTACTCTTGAAATTATGACATAGCCAAAAAGAGCAGCATTTCTTATTGAATGCTCAATTTCGTTCATCAGGTGTTTAGTATATACAAGATTGATCATTGAATAATATTATAGTTTGGATCCAATAGCGCATAATTTTACAACGAATATTTTCTATCAGCTAGGTGGGGGGGGGCCAGACCAAAACATGGCACAGATCCATGAAGTCACTGACAAGTGGACTGAGTCATGTTGGTAGATGTAGGCTAGCTGGTTGGGGTCTGCGAGACGAAAGTCACGAATGGTTAGAGACCTTGAACGACATGGCTAAAAATCGTTGTGCTCTCTCAAATCCTAATCTTTTGGATTCGTCAGCACCTCTAGCTTTGTCTTCCTAACCTTATCTCACTGAATTAATACTTCTTGAATAATTATATCTTCAAACCCTGGTCTTCTTCATTACCATTAATACCTCCACTATCTTTATCACTATGGGATTTGATTCGACATTTGCGTCTTTGTGTGCTAATATGGTACGGCAACATGAACTTATGTACATATGTACGTAGTTCTACGTTACAATTGACTGACTGACTGATTGACTGATCAGTGTTTATACGCATTTCCGAATCATTTGATATAGGCGGCTTAACTAATTTTAAAAAATGAATTTCACAGTGTACAATGAACAATTTTACTGGAAACTAATTTAAATTCTATTTAATTATTGATAAATTTATTCTCACTTAATTATTAGCGCATGGTTGAATCTTGTGTGGTAAGTGTAACTAAAACAAAAATCTACATTCTTTTAAATAAAGTAATCAAACATGTGCTTGGCCAATACGCAGTATCCAGTTCCCGCTTTTTTTTTAAAAAATCCACATTACATTATATTGGTTTACTATTTTGAAGATTATTATTTTGATATCAGTCAGACAGTCAATCATGGTTGACCTTCATTATGAAGAAACTCGAAAGCGCTGAACAGTCGCTTCGCCTTGGTATGAGTGTCATCAGTGACACTGCGCATCAATGACTCCGGTAACTCCCAGGATTCGAACCCAGGACCATTGATCATGTGTGCAATGGCCTAATCTCTAGATCACTGAGCCGGCATCCAATGGTGTTATTATCTAAATCTTAAATAATCTAAGGTCCCACCCAACCTTACACATTGTCTTTGGTAGTTACTGCCTACATTCGACAAGGTTGATCTCCACTGGTGCTCTGGTTCTATGTTCAATTCCTGCGAGAAGCAGGAGTAATGCATGTGCACTGCCATGAAGAAACGGCGGCCGTCCAGTGATCCTAGGAGAAAATATCTAAAACAATTAGTCCCTTTTATAAATTTTGATAGAACAGTGAGAAGACGTAACTGATCTGAAAAATGTGATGTATTTGCGCTATACATTTCGAACAATCTGGTCACACACATTTACTTGTCAAGGCATTATATATGAAGATGAATAAAAGGTCAATTGAATAAAAGTTCAAATAGACATAGGGTGATAATTGTAAATAAAGGAGAGAGAAAATTAACGTAATATGAAAAGAATAAGAAGGGGTAGGAAAATTGTCACATTACCCTAGGCTTAATGATTACCAAGGTAAATTCAAGGTTATGATGACAAATTGTTTCTGCACACATAAGGGGAGTTTTAATTTTCATTACGGGGTTGTGAATATTGTTAAGTTACACATTTTTGAAACCGTGAATCGTGAGGAATCTTCTCCGAGTTCTAGTGGGAAGACGTGACCAGTGAAGTTAAACCTGTTCGGGTGTAGACAGTAACTACCGAAGACTGTGTATGAGGTTGCGCAACTCCGTGAATATGATCAAGTTAGACATTAACACCGTCAGATACCGGCTCAGTGGCCTATCGGTTAGGGCGTTCGCGCACAATACCGAAGGTCCTGGGTTGGAATCCTGCAGGGTGCAGGAGTCGTGGGTGCGCACTGCTGAGGAGTCCCATACCAGGACGAAACGGCCGTCCAGTGCTTCCAGGTTTCTAATGGTGGTCTAACATTGATCGATTCATGGTTTCAAAAAAGTTTTAATTTTCAAATAGTCAAGGCTTCTCCATAAACCTCAAAATTCGTCCTTTAACATATCTAGACAATGTTTTGAAGACTGTCTTGATGTCAATCTTATGCCTTGTCTCAATTATGTGTTTTGCGATCGATGAACATGGTTTTCTATTTCCCACGCTAATCGGCTCATCTGAAGTTAACTGATTTTAAAACCAATTAGGTGCATGTTTCATAACCCTTGATTGCAAAGTCCGATTACTCCTCCCTATGTATGTGTGTCCACACAAACATGTAAATTGATAAATGCAATGGGATGTGATGTATTCATTATTCGAGCAACGTTTATGTATATACGAAATCATGGACTTGGTCTTTTCAATGATAATCAGTTTAACAGCGTTGTATGTTTTCTCTATGGCTGCTTTTAGTCTCTGTCTTATTATTAGACCATTTGCTTCACCTCTAAATGGTAAAGTGATATAAACCCTTTTTCTTCTCAGCAGAATGAAAAACTTGCTTTTGTCTTATCTGATCTCTACACCTATTGATAATGAAAGGTATATAGCGCAAATACATCACATTTTTCAGATCAATTACGTCTTCTCACTGTTCTATCAAAAGAGAAAATATCACCGAATATCAGTTGTTAAAATATTCTAATAAAGTTTTAATTCATTTCATTCGTCTTTAGAAAGATACATAGTTTGTTTGAAAATATTTATCTGGAACTGTAAAAACTCCATATTTTCTACTGAATAAATTAAACTGTTCAATTGTTGATTGAACAAATTTTTGTGTGTACCTGCGTGTTTGTTTTACAGCACCATCTATGAATTATGGTACGTTTTAGTACGACTAGTTTTGTTATCTGTTTTTTCCATCTGAACAAAAATGTCTGTCTATTTCATTCAATGATCAATTGTTCAGTTTGCTCTCATTCTATTTTTCTTTTTAATAATGTAGAACGATTTCGTTGAAAAAATGTTACTGTGTCTTTTGTAGGGAAACTATCAAAGGAATCATATCAATGATGTGGTCATGAGGACAATCTGCATTGTTTCTTGCCCAAGAATTGACAGATTTTCTACCTTTGAATTCATCATTCCAACCTTCATTATCAGTTATTTGTTGTTTGTTAAATGAATAAAGGAAATGCATTCTATTAATAATGTGATTTCATTGTTATACTGAACGTTACCATATAATAACAATAGTGTAGTGAAGGAGAACACAGGTGAGGGCAACCGAATTTTATTTAACGAAAATTACAGAGTTACTCAGTAAAGTAGGAAAACCATATCGTAAATCGTGGTTAATTTGCGAATCTTCAATCAATCATCAATCCATTGTCTGACATTTCACTTATTCATGCGTTTCATACAAATTCCATTGTGTTCCCACTCTTCCTTTGTTGATCGTCCCCCATCTTCTGCTGCCAGACACTACGTTCACACTCGCGTCATATACTACTTATAAGTAGCGCGCAGCACAACACTAGTAATTAACTTCGTGAGTAAATTCTTGGAGTTCTAATAAGCTGTCGTGATTAGTGAATTTCAACCCTGTTCGAGTGTCCGCAGGACTGACTAGGTTGGTGCACATCGGAACAATTGGGGTGCTGACCATTTAGAAAACATGAGTTCTAAGTAGTTAGTATTCAACAGAGCGTCGCTTAGTTGTTACAGCTAGAGAAAAGTGTAGTGCCCGAATGTTTGAAATGATCTATCAAATTGAACTAGTGAATGTCGAGTGTTCTGATATGCCTTTTAACTTATCATTTTCACTGATTCAAGGTCACAGGAAAAGAAAAAAAACTAAACAATACATGACTCTAAGAAACGGAGGCAGACAAATGGAATGCAGAGAGAAGTATACAGTTAATTTGAGGTTGCTAGTCAACGGCCGATGATTCACAAGGTATACCAAGCATAAATAAGTAAGTAAGTAAGTTAATATGTAAGTAAGTAAGTAAGTACGTCAGTAAGTAATTAAGTAAGTAATTCAGTAAGTTAGTAAGTAAGTAAGTAAGTAATCAGTAAGTAAGTAAGTCAGTCAGTAAGTGAGTAAGTAGGTAAGTCAGTCAGTCATTAAGTAAGTAAGTTAGTAAGTAAGTAAGAAAGTAAGTAGGTAAGTAAGTAAGTAAGTCAGTCAGTCAGTCAGTAAGAAAGTAAGTCAGTCAGGAAGTAAATTAGTCAGTAATTGAGTAAGCAAGTAAGTAAATAAGTAGGAAAGCAAGTAAGTAAGTCAGTCAGTCAGCAAGTAAGTAAGTGAGTGAGTAGTTAAGTAAGTAAGTCAGTAAGTCTGTAAGTTAGCAAATAAGTTAGTAAGTAAGTAACCATCTGTTTTGTAACAGACTACAGAATCAATCTAAAAAAAAATATACAAGTTTTTGTTTTTATAAATCAATATTATTCAAATTTTATTTTTGATACTTCAATTAGATTTTGTTTACAAATTCATAGATAATATTTTGAAATTATGTAAACAACACTGTACAGAATTTAAAACATTGTTTTTCGATCTTGAAAATGCAACTGCATGTTCACAATGTATTTTTACTGACTTGCTGCTGTAGATGTACCGTTGATTACTTTCCAATCATTCCACGTGTTCCTAAAATGTGGAGAAGAATTCTATAGTGAAAAAAAATCATAAAATACGCTCACCAGTGACTAGTTTAATGAGCAAATACTCGAAGTTTTAAATGCAAAGCCAGTAAACCAGTATATTTCATCCTTGTTGAGTGTAAGCAACAACTGAGGATGACAATGGATCCTGATCCTTGCATTAATCAGAGTTGGTCAAACATCACCACCGTCGCATGCTAGAAGTTAGGCTTTTGCGTGCACACCCGAAGGTCGTTGGTTCAATTCTTGCGAGTGAATACACACCACTGATAGGTCCAGTAACAGAACAAAATGACCGTTCATTATTTGTAGATTTCTAATCAGGGTCTAACGAAAAATAAATTGTTTGAAACAGTTTGAAACATTTATATGTTGATAGTTCTTTTTAATACAATCAAAGAATACAAATTATAAAATAATAAGAATTCTGCATTTTTTCTGTTTACCATATTCCAGTTATGGAACTTTATTTTTTTTTAAAAAAAAGAAAAGGGAATATATTATTTAAAACAAACAGATAAACAAATAAGATTTTCAATATTGAGTGGATTCAAAGGCGCCAAAAACTCAGTTTAAATCTAAGATTATTACATGTGTATGAAAATGCTGTGATTGATTTATATTTGTTCAAAATATTAATTAAGTTTTACCTAAATAAAGTGAAGACCGACGTCAGGCAAAGTTGCCTACTATCATCCTTTCTCATTCGACTAGTGATTGATTGGATTAGGAAGACGTTATTAGATGTAGGGATGCACGAAATACATTGGATAGCCAGGATACAGATGAGCGATCTGAAATCGGTAGACGACCTAGCTCTTCTATCCCACATGCAACAACAAATGTAAGATGGTCACTGTATCGACAACCTTTACAGCAGTAGACTTCAACCGACACAAGGGAAAGAAGTAGGAATTTGAGATGCAACCCTGAAGATACAAGTATTTATAAGCAGTTTTCTTTAGAAGATACTTCGAATCTGTAAGATAGACATCATCAGCAGCAACCTACTATCAAGGTAGAAAACAAGCCTCATACTAGCAGACGAAAAATCAGGAAGAAAAGTTGAAGTTGGAGCTAGGATAAACTTTGAGGAAATCAAACAAATGTTTGAAACGAAGTTACTAACGCTGAATTCAGCTAATATCCGAAGATAATCGTTTCTCAGTCTAATTCTATTTTGATCAGTTGCTATTGGTCGCCCTGACTATTAATGTCACAAACTTCAAATGTTGCTTCTTATTAGTTGTACCGACTATCAGTGTCACTTCAAATGTTGTTTCCTAATGGTCGTCCCATAAGTCAAGGTCACAGACTTCAATGTTGTTTCCTATTCGACCTAAATAGGAAAATATGCATTATCTGTAAAGTTTTATGTTCCGAATACTAAGCCTCTTTTGGACTCGGACTTCGTACTTTCTGGATGATTGTAGAATACACATTCTATTTCATATCAAGTCTTCTTCTTTTACTCGACCAGGGGGCGGGATGAGACGTTCAGATTAGAGTAGTCTATCGTGTCGCCGGGTCGTCGCTCACGTTTTCCGACTAAGGTAAACTCGTATATAATTCAAGCATGAAAACATTGTATTGATATTACCGGATTCGTAAAACATACCAGTTTGGTGTGTGACGAAGAGAAATTCCCTAACATGAACTATGAATATTTTTTTAGTCAACTTACCAAATGAGACCAACAAGTGTTCTGTTGTTCATGAACCAAACATATGAAATATAAATCACTTTGTGAAGCTAAATTAATTAACAATAACAATAATATTACTAACTTGTTTGTGTTTTTCCCAAATTTAATTTCCCTCATGACCTATGCTTTCTGATTGGTTATCATGGTTTCTGTCTGCTTAAAGGTCATCTCTCTCTCATTCTCATTTTGTACTACTTGTGCTGTTTTCACGTTCCTAGTAAAATGATCTTTCTCACTTGTGTTCAGTATGTGGTGTTGATGATTTATGCATGCAGTGTCTTTGTCGATCGTATCAGAGTATGTCAATCACTATTACTAGAACCATGAAAGAGTCGTAAGCTCTTAATGAACTCAAATCACCGTCTTCCATCACTTATGATTGCACGAAGTAAAAGTATATTGTTTCCAAACAAGTTGATTATATTACTGATATCATGAATCAATCCATGCTAAACGATCATTAGAAACCTGGAAGCAATGGACAGACGTTTCATCCTGACATGAAACTCGTAAGCAGTGCGTATCCACGAATCACACTACATGTAGGATATAGACCCAATACTACAGAACTTGCAGTCAAGTGCTTCACAGCTAACAGCGATGAGACACATCGGTTACCACTTCTTACTAGAATTACAAAGGGATCCACACAGACCTAGTAGTCACTAGTAAGCATAATGATTGATTCATGATTTCAGTGATGAACATCAATCTCCATTACACTACAATGAAAAAAGTGGTTGATTATACTAATTTAACACTGATTAGTTCAAGTGTCAATAGATTACATACCACTGAATAAAATATCAATTGAATAAGAAAATTTTTACTGAAATTATTCAGTGACAGTTTTGATCACTTTAAAGATGACTTACTCTAACATTCCCCAAAATCTCCTATAATACATCAAATCCTGTGATTATTATTATTATTATTATTATTATTATTATTATTATTACTACTGTAACGAATAATCCAGTTTCTCATGTTTTATTTTCGTTAATTGTGTTTTCTGTTTTAGTTTAATGAGTTATTTTTCAAAGTTTAAAATCAATCATACTTTCGTTTCATTAATACAAATTAGGTTAATATTATTTCACTTACGCAAGGGCATTTCTTTAAAATTAAAAATCAGTAGTCGATTTTAGAAAATACTTTGATATCAAGAAATATATTAACAGGTTGACATAGAAAAAATGACCATCAAAGTTATCTAATCTAGTCGGTGAGTATCAACGTACAACTTGATGTGTACATATATCAGTGTTCAAGTTGTCTTACCACATTAGAACAGAGAGATCACAACAGTTACGAAATAAACAATGATAGACCACTATTAGAAAGAAACCTAAACGGACTGGACGGCTAGTTTGTCGTAGTGTAGAACTCATCGGTGATAGTGCGTAACGAAGACTTACAAACTTGAAAATCCAACCCACAACTTCCCGTATCAAACAGGAATCCATCGGTGTTAATGTCTAACCAGCATCAATCCATGATATTGTTCAGGGATAATGAGCAATTTCCCTCACTCACTCCAGCATCTAAGTGCATCGTACCGAACACAGTTGAACGCCACCAGTTGGGTTGTTTCTCACTGGAACTTCAAGAATTTCCATATCAAGCTACACTTCAATGAAACCCAAACAATCTTCACAACCCTATCATAACAACTAATCACAATTGATAGATACATATATCTTACCAGTTAGATATATTTCAAGAATAAATTAACACACTTTATTTATCTGTCAAAATTATTCAATATGAGTAAACGAAATATTTGAAGTTTGTGAATAATTTTTTATAATTAATTTATACAAACTACTTACTTTTGTTCTGTAATTAAGTAGGATATTCATTGTACTTTAAATAAAATAATAATTCTAATGTCTTCTATATGATGGAGTTTCGTCCTTGTAAAAACTTTCATCAGCATAAAACGTCAGGAAGAGAAGGGAAGTTTTCGAAGTATTCTCCACGTACAACTCATTACACTTTATCTGTTAGTAATTCTAATGTCATATAAATAATAATGATCGATATCAGAGGATTAAAATGAAACGTAAGAACTTTTATTGCTTTTACAACAAAACGTACTTTTACACTCAGGAGATGATGATGATTTCGAACCACAATTGCATGAGTGAATTAGAAGTAGTGAGACTATCAAGTAAGCGTACATTGTGTTCGATAAAATTACTGCTTATGATTATATCAACTTAAATAAATAGGTTTTATTGTCAATAGAAATGAGATTTTCTACAATTTTAATAGGTTATCATATCAGACAAACACATTCTGACAGAGGTGTGTACAATTTACACTTTTAGTGTCAAATATATATATATGACGCCCTATAAGTAGGTAGATTGTTTACTGATAGTGTTGATATCAAAAACTTATCTTGATTGAACAGAAAAACAAACCATTGAAAGTAGGAAGCATTAGACGGATGCTGTTTGATGTGAGTTGATGAACCCTGATGAGATATGAACAAGGGATAGTGACGACCCAATGGTGACTTCATACGTGGTGTAATTCCATGCGATATGGCGAGATATCTTAGGCTAGTAAAATTCACACTTGTGAGAGTATTATCATTAACTGGAGTTGTTACGCAATATCACGCACTAGTTACGATTAGAAATGTAGATCTATGAATGTTGGCTAAATGTAAGATAGATTAGGTGCTCTCTGTTAGAACTGGTGGTAATCATATTTCGCAGTCTTGTTGTGGTTGTGGATGCGAACAACTCTGGAATCCTGTTCTTGAGTTGCACAAAATACTACCAGATCTCAATGGTTGTATTATTAATATTGTCTTTGACATGTTTTGCTAAATGTTTATATTTGAAACCTTGAATCAATCAAAGTTAGACTACCATTAGAAACCTGGAAGCACTGGACGGCCGTTTCGTCCTAGTATGGGACTCATCAGCAATTACTTGTGCCAAATATTGACTAGCTCCGTGAAGAATCTTCTCCGAAGTCGTGACCATTAAATTTCAACCTGTTCATCTGTAGACAGTAACTACCGAAGACTATGTTTTAGGTTGCGCAACTCCGTGAATTGATCAAAGTTAGACATTAACACCGTTAAATACCGGATCAGTGGTCCAGATGTTGGGTGTTCGCGCACAAGACCGAAAGTCCTGGGTTCATGTACTGCGGGGTGCTGTTGCACAGTGCTGACGAGTCTTATACCATGACGAAACGGCCGTCCAGTGCTTACATGTTTCTAATGGTGGTATAACATTGATCGATTGATGGTTTCAAATGTGTAACTTAACAATCTTCACAAAGCTGTTATATAAATGTTTATATACAACGTTATTCAGTGCAAGAGATTCTCGTGAGTACGAATATATTTCGACATGGTATACTATTTAGTGAACTACGACCCGTGATCTAACTCCAATTTTCGGAAACAATTGGATATACTAAGAAATTAATCTTCCATTCAATTTCCGCATATTACTCTTGGACGAACCTCATTTGTGTGACAGCGGTAATCAGAAGTTAAATACGAATACAGTTGAATGAGTTTATATCATCATGCAATCGTTCACGCAGACAGACATGCGAACAAAGATTGTGAAAATAAAACGAAGTATAGTTGAGAGATTCAACTCTATGTGATGAGGTATTGTAGTGAAGGAGAACACAGGTGGGGCAACCGAACCGAATTGTATTTAACGAAAATTACAGAGTTACTCAGTAAAATAGGAAAACCATATCGTTAACGGTTAATTTGCAAATCTTCAATCCATCATCAATCCATTGTCTGACATTTCACTATTCATGCGTTTCATACAAATTCCACTGTCTTCCCACTCTTCTTCCTTTCTTGATCTTCGCCATCTTCTGCTGCCAGACATTACGTTTTCACTCACGTCATATACTACTTATAAGTAGTGCGCACCACGACACCAGTAATTAACTTCGTGAGTAAATTCTTGGAGTTCTAATAAGCTGTTGTGACCAGTTAATTTTCAATCCTGTTCGAGTGTCCACAGGACTGAGTAGGTTGGCGCACCTCGGAACAATTGTGGTGCTGACCATTTAGAAAACATGAGGTCTAAGTAGTTAGTATTCAACAGAGTGTCGCTTAGTTGTTACAGCTAGAGAAAAGTGTAGTACCCGAATGTTTGAAGTGGTCAAAGAAATTTTGAAGATCAGATAACATATGTAAAAACAAAGGATATTCATCAATTTGTTTGCATTGTCAATGAAAATCTAAAGATTTAGTGTACACATTTTGTTAGTTGACTATATATCTTTACTAAATATTATTTATACTAGTATTCCCTCTGGTTTTGACGACTTTTTGTTCATTACACTAATAAATATCTTTAACAAATTTCCAGGTGAATATCATTCGTAATTTCATCAGACATATTGACAACTTATTATGTGCATTACGGGGTTGTGAAGATTGTTAAGTTACACATTTTTGAAACCATGAATCGATCAATGTTAGACCACCATTAGAAACCTGGAAGCACTGGACGGCCGTTTCGTCCTGGTATGGTGGTCTAACATTGATCGATTCATGGTTTCAAAAATGTGTAACTAATTATGTACAAAAATACTAGCTCATCGATTACGCTGTAGTTCGAGTTCGCTCATATTTAATTTGATTAAGCCTTTTCGATTGACTTATGTAAGTAACCAAGCTATTGGTATAGCAACAACCCATATGTGTACCATTGGTATTTTTTATTGTGTGGTTTGTATGAGCTTGCACGTCTGAGCATTGCTTACGCCTTTTCGCTTCAACGTTAATCTCTTAATATCCCTATGAACTCACATGATGTGTTCCACTTGTCATTTGACCTTGTCAATCATTCGTCGCTTTTATTCATGTGTGTGCATGCCCATCTCGTTGGTCACATGTCTGTCTAATTTTTGTCTGACTATATATTCTTAGTCATGTTCTATCTCTTAGAGTTGGCTCAACAGCCTTCTTTCGCCCGTTCGTTCGCATTTTAATCCTTGGAGTCCGCCCAATTCACGACGCTTCATGCGTTTTATTCACTGCTTCCCCGCTTCGCTTTGCGGTGTGTCCCAAATAAACGTATTCAACACTATGAGTTCGCCTTCTGATTTATAAACCGTCAGACGCTATTTGGTAATGCTTATTGTCTGGACGAGTTAAGTACCACCGACCATAAGAACACACAGCAAATCGACACACAACAACGGACACAAACACACATAACCATGCAGTCAATTTTGTTACAAAGTAATCACTGCATTCATCGACCAGTATATTATTTCTATTATAAATGCGTTCACTAGAGTAAAAACTTTTATGGCAGATTGAAGTCATTGAATTTCAAATACAATATTTACTATGTAAGAAATATTCAAATGTCAAATTGAACTAGTGTTTATCGAATGTTCTGAAATGCCTTTTAACCTATCATTTCTACTGATTCAAGGTCACAGGAAAAAAGACAAACTAGAGAATATGTTTCGCTAAAAACCCGAGGCAGACAACTGGAAAGCGAAGAGAAGTACACGGTTCATTCAAGATTGTTGGTCAACGGCCTACGTTCCACAAGGTATATCAGGCGTAGGTAAGTAAGTAAGTAGGTAAAAAGGTAAGTAAGTAAGTAAGTAAGTAAGCAAGTAGGAGCATAATTAGGAAAGTAAGTAAGTAAAAGCATAAGTAAGTAAGTAAGTAAGTAAGTAAGTAAGTAAGTGCATAAGTAAGTAAGTAAGTAACTAAGTAAATAAGTAAGTAAGTAAGTAAATAGGTAAGTAAGTAAGTAAGCAAGTAAGTAAGTAAGTAAGTATTTAAGTAATTAAATAAGTAAGTAAGTAAGTATTTAGTTAATTGACTAAGTAAGTAAGTAAGTAAGTAAGTAAGTAAGTAAGTAAGTAGGTAAGTAAGTAAGTAAGTAAGTAAATAATTATGTAAGTAGGTAGGTAAGTAAGTAAGTAAACATGTAAGTACGTAGGTCAGTAAATCAATCATTAAATAATTAAGTAAGTAAGTAAGTAAGTAAGTATGTACATAAGTGAGTAAGTAAGTCGGTAAGTAAGTAAGTAAGTAACCATCTGTTTTGTAACAGACTACAGAATCAATCTAAAAAAAAATATACAAGTTTTTGTTTTTATAAATCAATATTATTCAAATTTTATTTTTGATACTTCAATTAGATTTTGTTTACAAATTCATAGATAATATTTTGAAATTATGTAAACAACACTGTACAGAATTTAAAACATTGTTTTTCGATCTTGAAAATGCAACTGCATGTTCACAATGTATTTTTACTGACTTGCTGCTGTAGATGTACCGTTGATTACTTTCCAATCATTCCACGTGTTCCTAAAATGTGGAGAAGAATTCTATAGTAAAAAGAAAATCATAAAATCCGCTCAGCAGTGACTAGTTTAATGAACAAGTACTCGAAGTTTTAAATGAAAAACCAGTAGACCAGTAGATTTCATCCTTTTAGAGTGTAAGTAATCACCAAGGATGACAATGGATCCGGTTCCTTGCATTGATCAGAGTTGATCAGACATTACCGCTGTAGCATGCTTGCTTACTGGTCTAGAAGTTAGGCTTTTGCGTGCACACCCGAAGGTCGTTGGTTCAATTCTTGCGAGTGAATACAAGCCGTTGATCAGTCCAGTAACAGGACAAAAAGACCAATCAGTGTTTGTAGGTTTCTAATCAGGGTCTAACGAAAAATAAATTGTTTGAAACAGTTTGAAACATTTATATGTTGATAGTTCTTTTTAATACAATCAAAGAATACAAATTATAAAATAATAAGAATTCTGCATTTTTTCTGTTTACCATATTCCAGTTATGGAACTTTATTTTTTTTTAAAAAAAAGAAAAGGGAATATATTATTTAAAACAAACAGATAAACAAATAAGATTTTCAATATTGAGTGGATTCAAAGGCGCGAACAATTCAGTTTAAATCTAAGATTAATACATGTGTATTAAAAATTGTGTGAAGGATCTATTTTTATTCAAAATATTAATTAAGTTTTACGTAAATAAAGTGAAGATTGATGTCAGGCAAAGTTGCCTACTATCATCCTTTCTCATTCGACTAGTGATTGACTGGATTATAAAGACGTTATTAGATGTGAGGAAGCATGGATGGAATACATTGGATAGCCAGGATACAGATGAGCGATCTGAAATCGGTAGACGACCTAGCTCTTCTATCCCACATGCAACAACAAATGTAAGATGGTCACTGTATCGACAACCTTTACAGCAGTAGACTTCAACCGACACAAGGGAAAAAGTAGGAATTTTAGATGTAACACTGCATTCACCCACTTTTTAGGAAGTTGGGAATTTTTGTATAACTGGACAACATCTGATGCAGATGTGAAGTCATGCATTGGCAGAACAAGAGAAGTATTTCTGCGATTTGAGAACGTCTGCAACTCAAAGCCAGCTAACAACCAACATCAAAGTCATAATTTTCAGTACAAACATCAAGACAGTTCTACTGTATACAGAAGACACTTAGAGATTCGTGAATATCATCACTCTGAAGATACAAGTATTTATAAGCAGTTTGTTTTAGAAGATGCTTCGAATCTGTAAGGCCGACACCATCAGCAGCAACCTACTATCAAGGAAGAAAACAAGCCAGATGCTAGCAGACGAAAAATTAGGAAGAAAAGTTGAAGTTGGAGCTAGGATAAACTTTGAGGAAATCAAGCAACTGTCTGAAACGAAATTACTAACGCTGAATTCAGCCAATATCCGAAGATAATCGTTTCTCAGTCTAATTCTATTTTGATCAGTTACTATTGGCCGCCCTGACTATTAATGTCACAAACTTCAGATGTTGCTTCTTATTAGTTGTACCGACTATCAATGTCACTTCAAATGTTGTTTCCTAATGGTCGTCCCATAAGTCAAGGTCACAGACTTCAATGTTGTTTCCTATTCGACCTAAATAGGAAAATATGCATTATCTGTAACGTTTCATGTTCCGAATACTAAGCCTCTTTTGGACTCGGACCTCTTACTTTCTGGATGCTTGTAGAATACACATCCTATTTCATATCAAGTCTTCTTCTTTTACTCGATCAGGGGGCGGGTTAAGACGTTCGGATTAGAGTAGTGTATCGTGTCGCCGGATCCTCACTCTCGTTTGCTGACTAAGGTAAACTCGTATATAATTCAAACATGAAAACATTGTATTGATATTACCGGATTCGTAAAACATGCCAGTATGATGTGTGACGAAAATAAATTTCCTAGCATGAACTATAAATATATTTTTGTTAGTCAACTTACCAAATAAGACCAACAAGTGTTCTGTTGTTCATGAACCAAACATATGGAATAAAAATCATTTTTTCAAGCTAAATTAATTAATAATAACAATTAAATTACTAGCTTGTTTGTGTTTTTCCCAAATTTGATTTCCCACATGACCTATGCTTTCTGATTGGTTGTCATTGTTTCTGTCTGCTCAAAAGGTCATCTCTCTCTCTCTCTAGTAGTTTTGTCACGAAAGTTGTACCATTTGTCGTTTTGTACTACTTGTGCTGTTTTCACGTCCTTAGTATTCACTATGCGGTGTTGATGATTTATGCATGCAGTGCCTTTGTCGATCGTATCAGAGTATGTCAATCACTATTACTAGAACCATGAAAGTGTCGTAAGCTCTTAATGAACTCAAATCACCGTCTTCCATCACTTATGATTGCACGAAGTAGACGTATATTGTTTCCAAACAAGTTGATTATATTACTGATATCATGAATCAATCCATGTTAAACGATCATTAGAAACCTGGATGTTTCAGCTTGACATGAAACTCGTAAACAGTGCGTATCCACGAACCACAATACACACAGGAATTAGACCCACTTAAGCGCTTCAGAGCTTACAGCAATGAGACACATCGGTTACCACTTCTTACTAGAATTACAAAGGGATCCACACAGACCTAGTAGTCACTAGTAAGCATAATGATTGATTCATGATTTCAGTGATGAACATCAATCTCCATTACACTACAATGAAAAAAAGTGGTTGATTATACTAATTTAACACTGATTAGTTCAAGTGTCAATAGATTACATACCACTGAATAAAATATCAATTGAATAAGAAAATTTTTACTGAAATTATTCAGTGACAGTTTTGATCACTTTAAAGATGACTTACTCTAACATTCCCCAAAATCTCCTATAATACATCAAATCCTGTAATTATTATTATTAGTGTAACGAAAAATCCAGTTTCTCATGTCTCATTTTCGTTAATTGTGTTTTCTGTTTTAGTCTAATGAGTTATTTTTCAAAGTTTAAAATCAAACAAACTTTCGTTCCATCAATACAAATTAGGTTACTATTATTTCACTTACGCAAGGGCATTTCTTTAAAATGTAAATAAGTAGTCGATTTTAGAAAAAAAACTTCGATGTCAAGAAATATATTAACAGGTTCACATAGTAAAAATGACCATCAAAGTTATCTAATCTAGTCGGTGGAAATCAACATATAACTTCGTGTGTACACACATCAATGTTCAACTTACCTTACCACATTAGCACAGACAGACCACAACAGTTATGAATCAAAGAATGATAGACCACTATTAGAAAGAAACCTAAACGGACTGGACGGCTAGTTTGTCGTAGTGTAGAACTCATCGGTGATAGTGCGTATCGAAGACTTACAAACATGAAGATCCAACCCACAACTTCCCGTATCAAACAGGAATCCATCGGTGTTAATGTTTAACCAGAATCAATCCATGATATTGTTCTGGGATAATGCGCAAGTTCCCTCGCTCACTCCAGCATGTAACTGCATCGTACCAAACACAGTTGAAAGTCACCGGTGACGATGTTTCTCACTAGAACTTCAAGAATTTCCATATCAAGCTACACTTCGATAAAACCAGAGAATCTCTACAACCCTATCATAACAACTAATCACAATTGATAGATACATATATCTTACCAGTTAGATAAATTTCATTAATAAATTAACACACTTTATTTATCTGTCAAAATTATTCAATATGAGTAAACGAAATATTTCAATTAATTTTAACAAACTACTTACTTTTGTTCTGTAATTAAGTAGGATATTCATTGTACATCAAATAAAACAATAATTCTAATGTCTTCTATATGATGGAGTTTCGTCCTTGAAAAAAGTTTCATCAGCATAAAACGTCAGGAAGAGAAGTGAAGTATTCGAAGTATTCCCCACATACAACTCCTTGGTTTGTCTGTTAGTAATTCTAATGTCATATATCATAATGATTGATATCAGAGGATTAAAATGAAATATGAGAACTTTTATTGTTTTACAACAAAACGTACTTTTACACTCAGGAGATGATGATGATTTCGAACCACAATTGCATGAGTGAATTAGAAGTATGGAAACTATCAAGTAAGCGTACATTGCGTTCGATAAAATTACTACTAATGATTATGTCAACTTAAATAAATAGGTTTTCTGGTCGATAGAAATGAGATTTTCTACAATTTTAATAGGTTATCATATCAGACAAACACATTCTGACAGAGGTGTGTACAATTTACACTTTTAGTGTCAAATATATATATATAACGCCCTATAGGTAGGTAGATTGTTTACTGATAGTGTTGATATCAAAAACTCATCTTGATTGAACAGAAAAACAAACCACTGAAAGTAGGAAGCATTAGAGGGATGCTGTTTGATGTGAGTTGATGAACCTAATGAGATTTGAACAAGGGATATTGACGGCACACTGGTGAATTATTAGTGACTTCATATGTGGTGTAATTTCATGAGTTATGGTGAGATGTCTTAAGCTTGTAAGAGAATCACCAACTGGAATTGTTACGCAATATCACGAACTAGTTACGATTAGAAATGTAGATCTATGAATGTTGGCTAAATGTACGATAGGTTAGGTGCTCTCTGTTAGAACTGGTGGTAATCATATTTCGCAGTCTTGTTGTGGTTGTGGATGCGTACTACTCTGGAATCCTGTTCTTGAGTTGCACAAAATACTACCAGATCTCAATGGTTGTATTATTAATATTGTCTTTGACATGTTTTGCTAAATGTTTATATTTGAAACCTTGAATCGATCAAAGTTAGACTACCATTAGAAACCTGGAAGCACTGGACGGCCGTTTCGTCACAGTATGGGACTCATCAACAATTACCTGTGCTCAATAATGACTATCTCCGTGAAGAATCTTCTCCGAGTTCTAGTGGGAAGTCGTGACCTGTTCATCTGTAGACAGTAACTACCGAAGACTATGTTTTAGGTTGCGCAACTCCGTGAATTGATCAATGTTAGACATTAACACCGTTAAATACCGGCTCAGTGGTCCAGATGTTGGGTGTTCGCGCACAAGACCGAAGGTCCTGGGTTCGAGTACTGCGGGGCGCTGTTGCACGGTGCTGATGGGTCTTATACCTTGACGAAACGGCCGTCCAGTGCTTCCAGGTTTCTAATGGTGGTCCAACATTGATCGATTCATGGTTTCAAAAAATGTGCAACTTAACAATCTTCACAACACCGTAATGTAAATGTTTATATACAACGTTATTCAGTGTAGGAGTGAAAATAAAAGTAAAGTTGAGACAGTCAACTCTATGTGATGAGGTATTGTAGTGAAGGAGAACACAGGTGGGGCAACCAAATTGTATTTAACGAAAATTACAGAGTTACTCAGTAAAATAGGAAAACCATATCGTAAACGGTTAATTTGCAAATCTTCAATCCATCATCAATCCATTGTCTGACATTTCACTATTCATGCGTTTCATACAAATTCCATTGTTTTCCCACTCTTCCTTTCTTGATCTTCCCTCATCTTCTCTTCTGCCAGACATTACGTTTACACTCGCGTCATATACTACTTATAAGTAGCGAGCACCACAGTATGACTAAGTATTTATAGTCAAATAAAGATAAAATTTACATGTGATAAGCAAAACGAGCAAGTCACATAGGCATCCAAGTAAAAACAATCAACATTTTAAGTGATTCATTGACAAGATCGAAACATGTGTGAATTCTAACTTGGTTATAAGAGGTTAATTAGCTTGTCTAAACGCTTGTACCAGCTTTATGTGTTCAATATCAAATTAGTACACACACACACAACAGATTTAACATTGAATAAATTTACTTTTTTCAAGTTATTACTAATTAAACTCAATCTAACTTCAATAATCATTAGTAACGAATCGTGAATATATATGCAACTAACTTGTGATTGCGTTTTTCTCACTGATTAGAACAGAATCATTTCATACATAATTTTTATGCAGGTAGAGAGTGTTTTCCAACTCATCTGTGAACAACTGATATAATCTAATACAGAATGAATATGATATAGAATGCTTTGCAAGTACTTACTGAATAATCTTTTACTTACTTAATTACTTACTTACTTACTGACTGACTTACTTACTTACTTACTTACTTTCTTACTTTCTTACTTACTTATTTACTTACTTACCTACCTACCTACTTACTTACTTACTTACTTACTTACTTACTTACTTACTTACTTACTTACTTACTTACTTACTTACTTATGCACTTACTTACTTATGCACTTACTTAGTTACCTACTTACTTACTTACTTACTTACGGAATAAACTCCAGGAGATTTCAATCATCCACTTTACATCTTTTCGCGGACTACACTTCAGAATCGTGAATGGAAAGGCAACTGACAGATTCATTTCATATAAAGACCGGTGTCAAGCATGGTTGCTTACTCACAGTCTCTCATGTTATCCTGGTGTTAGACTGGATTATGAAGACCTACACAGCTGAGAGGAAACATAGATCATAGTGGACAGATGGGATGCAGCTGACTTAAAACTTGTCAGCTAGCGCCAACCAATGCTCACTTGATAGAGAAACTCTGGTAGATGTGGAAACGTATGCATATCTGGTCAGCATCATGGATCTGTTGCAGATATGAAGACACGGATTGACAAATCAAGAGCTCACAAAAACTGTCAATTAACACCGATTTTTATTACAAATAACAGGACAGTTCTATTGTTCTATTGGCCGCAAATTTTTGAGAGCTATGAAAGCCATCATCCCTAAGGTGCAAGCATTTATAATAAGTTGTCTACACAAGAGACTGCGATCCGTTATTCAGGCGAGATTCCAATTGTGGAAGAAATTATAAAAAAGCACTGTAATAAGACAGAGCACACTCTACGGAAATCACTAAAACTGTGTGACAAGACATGGAGTTTTCAAGGCAAAAGGCGAAGAGGTAGATTAACTAACCCCTTTGCACCGACAAATGTAGTCATCAGACATAGAAAGAACGGACAGCCCTTGTCAATAACTGGTTTCATAATTTTAATCAACGGCCCATACTATACTAAGTATAACAGAAGTAAGTAGGTAGGATAGGAAGTAAGTAATTTAATCCAGTCAAACACAGAGCACAATATAGGTACATAGCTACATCAATAAATTATTGAGTTATGTTATTGTATTTTACAACAACAAGCAAACTATTGTCACAAAGTATATTCAATATTTTTGTTCAATTTTAGAAAATCTTATTGGATAACATGATCTGACATTGTCATGTACAAAAACATATAAAAATAATCGCCTTTTTAGACAAACAAACATTCTATCACTATTGAACCAAAGAGTTATGATTATTGTAGGGTTTTTGTTACTACTTTCCCTTCGAACATTAATGGCATCATCGTTGATGGACATAGGTATGTGGAACTTGATAAAAGAGAAAGATTTCTAAGCACAAATCATTTGTGCAACTGTTCATTTTTCATCCTCAATTAGCGAATAAATTCATGATTACTTACTGAAATAAAAATTTCATTCAATACAGGGAAGGTTACTGAGTAAGTTTATTCATAGATATTTTGAATATTATATTGGTAAAAGATTTATAAATTCGTAAAAACGAAGGATCTATTTTTAGTGCTACAAGTATAGACAGTTTTCAAATGGATGCCGGCCCAGTGGTCCGATGGTTAGGCATTCGCGCACAATACCTAACGTCCCGGTCGTGGATGCGCACTGCTGATGAGTCCCATACCAGGGCGAAACGGCCGTCCAGTGCTTCCAAGTTTCTAATAGTGGTCTAACAATGACTGATTGATGGTTTCAAATGTTTAAAAACACAACACCTCCAAAACTCTGCCCGAAAATTTTCAAATGGAATTTTTTTTGAGAAGAGCACTAATTCAAACACCTTAGATCCTGTGAGCGGATTCACAGTCTCTGAACAACTGAGCTGATCAGTATCACACGATGTTATTGTCTAACTCTGATTCATATCACCCATCTATCTTCGACAGTTACTGCCTCACATGTCTTCTCTCGAGAACGACGATTTGATGCAGTTACATAATGAAGACAGCAGATGTCGTAAATTTATTAAAGTTAGGTATTAACACCGTGATCAATTGGTTGAGCATTTACTTACAAGACCGAAGGTCCGATGTTCAGTTCTTGATTACAGAACGCATGAAACCAGTCACCAGTGAGCACATTGTTCGACTTTTTCCATGATAAAACTATGAAGATTGTTGATTTACTTCTTGAAATCATGTGTCGATCAGTGTTCGATTTCTGTAAGTAGCAAGTGAGTTGTGGATGCGCACTGCTGCTGACGATCCAGTGCTTCCAGATGTCTAATGGTGATCAAACATTGATCGACTCCTCGTTTCAAAAAATATTTTGATCATTCAAAAATGTATATTGAACTCCAGTAGTTTATATGATAGCTAACTTTTGTCTACCCCACACATTCACGTTTTGGTCACTGATATCGATCAAACAGTTATGAATTTAGCTTATCGTTTTTCTTAATGATCTTTTAGTCCAGATAATTGGTCGTGAGTTAATTTATTCTCGCGTAAAAAATGTGTATACTTAATATGAACGAAATGAAAACAAACTGTCGGCTACTGTTTGTCTCATTCAAAGGATACTACTCCTAACTGAAGTTTCATATGGTCGAATACAAATTTTAAATTTCTCTATTGCGAAAAAATTCATTACCCGATATGAGACAAAGGGTAATAGATATTTTTGAGCCTATTCGCATCAAGCTGCGTTGCATCTCTTACTATCCTATGCCACATGATGTATATACCATGAGCTATATAGATAACGACATCTTTAATATTATCCAATGAATACAGATTATTTTACAGCTTACTTACTTACGTACTTGATTGCGTCCTAACTTACGCCTGTTACTCTTTATGGAATGTAGACCACTGACCAGTATTCTACAATCCGCTCCGACCTCAGCCTTTCTTTCCAGTTCTGCTCAATCGGTGTTGATTCTTTTGATGCGTACTTCGAATTCTCTCGACGTGATGTGTGTTCTTTGATTCGCCACTTCTCCTGTTGCCTTCAGGACTCCAAATAAGGGATTGT